TTTAAAGGCTTTAAAACCAAGTTAGTACAAACGTCACTAATGTCACATAACTTTGCCGACATGTGGCCAACAGGAATGTTTAATGTTCTTCGTTATTAAACAACATAAATAAGTGACATAATATTCAGTACTTACTTTTAAAAGTTTACTCTTCGGCCGCTCCTGTCATGGTGAAATGGAATTAAAGGACTCAGGTGCGAGACTCCTTGCAGAGTGACAGTGAATTTATTCACAGTGAAAAGGTGAGTCAATAGTTCGAGTCTGTAATCCAGAAAGAGCAGTGCAGTTATACGATGACTTCTTCCTGCAGTGACAGTGCTGTCATAATCCAAAACCGCTCCTTGTGCCGGCTCCTCCTCCGATCTCTGAATCCTGAGGGCAGATGAGAAAAGCACACGCACTGTAATACAACCATCTCTCTTTCACAAACTGAGTACACTAGCCACGATTACGCTACCCGGTTTAGTTCAACGTTCCAGCGTTGGTTGTGACTCGACTGCACCGTTAAATAGGGCTGCTTCAGATCAGTTGTAGCCGGTGAAGTAATTACGTACAGGTGCGACGCTTCCAGCTCCGGACCCACCCCTCGGGTCAGCTGCCGTGCCGTGCCACGGCTTCCAGAGGTACATGTCTCCGCAGCAAAACACATGCACAAGATGGAGAGGAGACACGACAGTACACACAAACACTCCCAAAAAGTGGCAAGGTGATCGGTGAGGACCACCTAACCGTGACAGCTCCGCTTCAGCCGTCTGCCACTTTTTTCCGAAAAAAATATACACACCCACCGCCACGCTATGAATTGTGGGATAGATTGGGTCACGAAGGCTACACTGGACCCAGCCTTCAAATCTGGGGAAATGAAGGGCGCATTTGTCAACCGCATTTTGAGGACTCTTCGAATTGGGACACCCTTCGTCGCGTCGCTGTGACACAATCGGTCTACAAATGCCCACTCCGAAGCATGCGGTCCCTGAATTGGGACACAGCTAAAGTGTCATAAGAAAGTGCGTTGCTAGGAGTGATTGGAAGCAGATTTCATTTCAAAAGACTACCAAGCAGAAGCCTTGATAAAAGCGTGGTTTTGTACAAACTGTGCAAAAAGGAGTTTGGATACCACCGAAGCACTTCCACCTTATGGTACCATCTAAATGCAAAACCTGTTGCAGCGGGCACAGAAACTGTGGGAGCTGTTAGCGCTACCAGTCGAGTACCAACAAAAGGTGGTGGCAGCCCAAACTTGATGAGATGACTGGCTTCAGGACCACATCTGGATCCCCTTCAGTTCGCTTATCAGCCTCGTCTCGGAACTGAGGACGCCATCATCTACCTGCTCAATCGT